TCAGGACAACAAGACGAGTTGAAATCCGGATGGCCGTCTGTCCGTATGTCCGTCCGTCCGTCGGTCTGTGCAAGCTGTAACTTGAGTAAAAATTAAGATATCTTGATGAAACTCGGTACAAGTTTTCCTTGTCAAAAAAGTGAGAACGAGATGATGGACGTCAACGGACCACTGCCACGCCCACAAAGCGCCATTAATCGAAAAAGTATAAAATGCTATAACTAAGTCGTAAATAAAGATAATAATCTCAAATTTGCCACAACGAATTTAATTAAGGAGGAGCGCCTGTGTGTGCGTTTTTAAAATGTGAGCATGGATCCGGCCCTTATAAGTTTAATGTATATATCTCCCAAACGAATAAAGCTATATCACCCGAATTTGCACACAGCAAGTACTTTCAACTTTTCTTACGATATTGTGAGAACAGGGGAAATCGGATGACAACCCCGCCCACTCCACATATAAAGCATTTGACAAAAACTACTAAAAGTGTGATAAATCAATAACTAAATGCGTCAGAGACCTTAGCCTTTCCAGTCAGGATGGCACAAGAGGGTTATATAGGAGCCGGTATCAAAATTGGACGGTGGGAGTAGCACCGCCGAATTTTTGGTGAAATCACATAACTCGGGACCTGCTCGAGCGACTTCAAGCTAATTAATTTCATAGCATAGCCTTTTACTCAAATGTTACAGTGTGAAAATAGAGGACGTCAACTTTCTAATTTTAAATTCCATCTGATTCTTTGATATTGCAGTATACAAATAAAGCACCAATTATTATATCGGAATAAAACTGAGTTATCTCAATGAAAATGAGATAGCGTATTTTCCTAATTCTTTCTTTGTGCCTAAAATATGTAAAATTGGGTGCAAATTTGCTCTAGCTCCGTAGAACTACCCCAATTAATTCAATCAGCCCAACTTTTTCTCGGTTCCCAATATAGCCTGTATAATAATTTCCGACTTTCCCTAAATAACGCTTTAATAAAATTAAATAACAATCTTTCTTAAATATTGTATTGGAATATAAATGAAGTTGTTCGAGACATTGGTCCAAACCTCATATCCCTAAAATAATGAATTGCGATTCTCTGGTTGACGTTTTCCCATCAACTCATTATATTAAATTTAGCTTCTTCAGTTGAGTTTATATCTCATATATCTAATTTCAAGATGATTCAAATACAATTTTAGCTGACGGAAAGTAAAATACATTAATAAAAATAACTGAGTCTATGACCTATAATATAACTTAATAAAATACCAAATTTGATTGTAATCCCACGATTCACGATTTTGTCGAATAATGAATGTTGAATTGTTTCGGAGCATTTTTAGATCCTGAACAGGCTATATTAAGTTTGCCACAAAGTTTGTAACATTCAGAAGAAAACGTCGGAGATCCTATAAAATAAATACATAATTGATCAGCGAGATGAGCTGAGTTGATTTAGCCATGCCTGTCTGTCTGTCCGTCTGTCTATCTGTATATATACGAACTCGTCCCTCAGTTTTTATGCTATGAAATTTTGCACCTGGCCTCACTAAGAAGCTGTTCATTTGTCGGAACGGCTGATAACGGCATACAAACTGAAAAATCGGAATCAATTGCTTGCATGGAAAATTTATTTCTTTGACGAGGTATCTTCACGAAATTAGATCGGAATCAAATTCTTGTAAGGAGTCTTTGTATTTGTGAAGGGTACTATAGCTTCGTTGCAACCGAAGTTAATGTTTTTTCTTGTTTAATATAAAATTTTCCTATTTTCTTTCCTTTGATCCTTGCAAATTGCAAGAGTATAAAAAGGTTCAGTTCCACTCGAACTTAACCCCTCCTTACTTGTTTAATATAAAGTTTTGCCACTTCTAAATGTCTTTTTCCGGCTTTGATCTTAGCAAGTTGCAAGAGTATGAAATGTGTGGTTACACCCGAACCTAACCTTTCCTTACTTTTTCTTGAGATATTTTTAATTCACTTATTTCTCCCAAAAATATTTGGGCTATATTCTGAATATGACATCAACACCCCTAGCAACGATTTCGGTATCCATTCGGTTATGACTACCTAATTAAGTTATTAATTAAAGCAATATGCGTTTTTTAATTGTCCTTCGGTCGTTCGTTATTGCGTGCCGCTGCTTTACTTTTAAAATACCAATTATATGTAATATCACACGTACAACATATTGTGAATCTAGGTCAATCTGTCTCATGAGATATAAAAATATCTCAAATCACTTTTTTGACTATAGCTGCTTTATATATGTCCTAGTATTTTTTTTAATTGAGAAATTTTAATATAAAGTTACTTAAGTAGTGTGAGACCCTTCACATTTTACCACTGCCACGCCCACATAAGGCCATTAATCGAAATCCTAAATTGCCATAACTAAGCTCCAAGGTACAAGGAATTGCATTGGTAAGGGGCATATATGGTTGAAATTTTATTTAAAGTGGGCATGGCCCGCTCCTTAATAAGTTTAATTTATTATATATGTGTTTATGTTCACCGGTCGAGATATTTTATCTAAATTTGTATGGAATACATATTATAAATAAAATTCCTTTCCTATTTACTTTTCTTTCCAGGCAGCTATCAGCTATAAATAGAAAACCAGATACTTTGAAGAAAAGATGAAAACGTTAGGCATGTGAGGGCAGTTACTTCATCATTTGACCCACGTAAGTATAAGCATATGTTTATATGTTTATAGAGCAACACTTAAGTAATGAAAAAGCCAATGTATGTATTTCTTTAAATATGTATACTCGTGAGTATAAAAGTTTGTGCGTTACACGAACTTAAGAAAACGGTGAGAGCAAACAACTTGAAGTCACAAACAAAAAACAAAACTCGTGCCAACAAAGTGTAAACACTGCTGTTGCATGCAGCACAAAAGAGTCAACTTCGTGCCCATTGCGTGTACATAAAACAGTGACAACATAAATCACACACAACAAAAGTTGCAAGAAGCGGGCTTAAGTCTTAATGAATGAGCGGAAGAGGAAGTGCATAAAAAATGGCAAGAAGTACGTTAACGAAAAGGAAAATGTTGTAAGAAGCGGAAAGTGTGGAAAGAAAAATTATTTGAATAAAAAACGATGAAGTGCAGCTAAAACAAACAATAGTCAAATGTAACAGAAATACAACTGAAACAAATAAACAACTAACCAACAAATTAATAAAAAAAACAAGAAAAAGCGTTAGCTTCGTCTGAGCCGAAGTTACAATACCCTAAACAGGTTGATTTCTTAAAACAAAAAAATTAAGGACTTTGATCAGTCAGTTTGTATTACAGCTATTTTTCATACTGGTCCGTTCTGAATTGAAGATTGTAGCGTCGCCTTGGACAATAATATATGCCAAGTTTCGTAAAGATACCTTCGCAAATAAAAGTTTTCTATATAAGGACCTTATTTTGATCCATAGTGGTCCGATATCGGCGCTTTCGACCAATGAAGGCTTTCTTGGGGAGAAATGGACGTATATGGAATTTTAGTTCGATTTTTATAAAACTGAGGGACTAGTTCGCGTAGATACGGACAGACAGACGTAGATAAATTGGCTCAGCTGCCCAAGCTGATCCTTTAAATATATACATGCATACATACTTAATAAGGTTTCAGATGTTTCCTTCTGGGTATTACAAACTTCGTGGCAAACTTAATATACCCTGTTCAGGGTATACAAAATTTAATAGAACAAACCAAATAAAGCTTGACAAAGGACAGAGTGATTGCCACGCAGAAATATGTCAGTAAAGACAATTAGTAATACTTTTTTTATTGAGTTAGAAAAATAAATTCGGTTGTTAACCCTACAAATGTGTGTGATTGTACTCTGTTTACAATTTCGTAGCAAATATTTTTCCATTTGCGCTAAGGTAAGAGTCGAAATATTTCATAATTAATGTAGCTTTACCACGCAAATGCGGTTTCCACACTGACATGATTGAGATGCTCACCGATGAATAAATAAACAAATGCGCTTAATGCGAATTAATCATTAAGCCAATTAAAGAATGATGGATGAAAGTTAAGTTAAGTTCAAAAATGTTACTACGACCAGCTATCACCTTTTAATAGTTTAAAGAAGTAAAGTCTCTCTATTTAGTCGGAAATTCCATTAAAAAAAATTAATTTTTTCTAAGATAAAGAAAATTAATGCCCACCAAATGATATAGCCCGATAATTGAATATCGCCAGCAAATTTCTCTACCTTTTCGTCCGCCACGTTACTTTTGTTATAGGGCGTTTCCGAATCTCAGTTAAAAAAAATTAATTATAATGCCTGCAACATTTCCAGAACGTATTTACTCTTCAATGAAGGAAGTTTTTAGTAAATAATGGCTTGCCATTATAATTTAGATATGATTTCCGCGCCGGCTGACTCGAATTAACTCGAGCCGAGAGGACCAACTTTCGATCGCTTATTGCAACAATTGGGGCCGTATGGCAACTATATTTTCGGGTTTATCTGCTTAGATAAGCGACTTCGCGTAGCTCTATAAAAAATAGAGCAGCGGGGTTAAATTGCACGATCTTGGAGGCCACGCTACAGGCCATCGACGCGATATACAGCTTGGTTGAAAAGTGAGTAGTGATCACGAACCCTAGCCCTACTAGCTCGAAAGTTTTTTTTTTCAAGTTGGTACATCAGTCGTGAGAACACATGTAAAGCTACAAGCCATTCTGTAAATTATTTCTTTATTTGCCAGCCATTTGAAGTTGACATGTTAGAGTAATTTTTTAATATAGGAAAAATTTAATATCGCGCAGTGATTGGATTCTTTGTTTTGAAAGGTTTAAAGTCAAAGAAAATTTATGAATAATTGTTAGAATTGTATAAGGAGTCCTCACCTTCAAAACGTACCATTGAATTTTGAACTGGTGAATTTAAACGTGGTCGTATAACGCCATAAATCATTGAGCAAGTTCATTATATTGTTAGAGAAGATCCAAGTTTGACTAAGCGTGAAATTGCTAATGCCATAGGCATCTCACACCAATGAATAATTAATATTTTACAGGGAGAATTACATATGAAAAAGAAAAATTGGAAAGTTTGTGCCACACACATTAACAATTCAACAAAAACTGTATCAAAAGCAAATTTCTCAGCATAATTTGAGGCGTACTAAGCAGAACAAAACCGACTTCTTGCGTCGTTTTATAACTATGGATGAGACTTGAATCTACCACCATGACCCTAAATTAAAATAAAAACGTTTACAGTTGAATGAAGCTGGTTGTTCAGCTCCAAAGCAGCTGAAGTCAGAACAATCTGCAAAGAAGGCTATGGCAAAAAGAATTTTGTTGATTGAAAATCAACTCTGAATATTATGGCAGTCTTTTGGATCAGCTGATTGAAAAAATTCGTGAGAAAAGACCTGGTTTGCTGCACAAACAAATAATTTTTCATCCAGACAATGTACCTGCCCACAAAGGTGTCTTAACAATGACAAAATTCAACGAGTTAAACTACGAATTGCTTGAGCCTCCACCACATTCAGCAGACTTGGCTCGCAGCGGCTACTAACCTACTACTAAACCTGAAACAATTCCTTTGTGAAACGCGTTTTTCGTCGAATGAAAAAGCTACAAATATCACAGACGTAGACGGGAATATTGCAGAGCTTCCAGAAAGTCATTGTAGGGATGACATAAAATTATTGTAAGATCATTGGAATAAGTGTATTAAAGTAAAAGGAGATTATATTGAATAAAGGTATATTTTGTACCAAAAACAGTATTTTTTAGTTTCGAGCGCAGAAACGTTTCAACCAACCTGCTACCAGTTCATATATGAACGTTTTTACTTTTGGTTCACCCTTATATGGTGTAAAGACAAAATTATCTGTTCTTATTTCAAAAGTAATTTACTTCACAAAATGTCTGCCTATATACACTCATATGCATGTAGAGATCTCTCCATAGATATACGTTATTGAAGCTAATAAGGCAGACAATTAATTTCTTTAATGTAATTGCTTTGTAGTCCTTTGGGAGTTGAACAAGTGCCGCAGCCCACTTTTTGGTATTGATATATGAATAAGTAGTATTTTGTCGCTTGTACATATGCGCACATATGTACATATGTTATATATATAAGAACATAATATACTGACACCTATCAATTATTAATTAAATCAATAAATTACGCAAATATAAATAGAATGCAATTAAAATTAAGACATTATTGAAAAAGTATAGAAAAGCTAGAAAGATAATTATCAAAACAAGAACGAGAATCTTTAGAAAAAATATTTCTCAATACTTGCTGGTTGTTCTTACAAGTTTCTCTAACTTAAATACACTTACAGAAATGACATGTGTATAGCGAAGGAGTTGAAAGCACACTCTTCTTTCGACGCTTTGCTTCTGTTTTGTGTTGCTCGAGTTATTATCTAAGTGAAAGAAAAATACAACTCAAATCACTCCTAGCACATTTGGCCGGAATTCTTCGGTGGCCGGCACCAAAACACCGCAAACTGCACTGTCCCGACAAAGCAAACAAGAGTGCGACAGACGTGCCATGCCGTATGAGCAACCAGCGAAAGCAGGTTCGCCGCCGGGCAAAGCAAACACGACTTGTGGCAGTCAGCGAGTTCAAAGAAAAAGCAAAAGCGCGCGTATGTAGGTTACGAGTGGAACGCAGTCAAGCGCGTAAATAGACAATGAAAGCAAAAAAGAAGAAGAAGATCGGCAGTGATATAACTATATATAAACAAGTATACAAACAACGATTATGGGACAAATTTGCGCTGGACAAGAGAAAGCAGACCGTGTGCAGTCAAAGTTGTGCGAAAGTAGGAAAATAGTTGAGAGCTAAATAATACGGCTTCTGTTGTGTGTTCTTGTTTCTTTTTGTTGTGCTTGTGTTTGTGTCCCTTAGACGCATTGCTGGCGTATACTCGTTTAGCAGCAATAGCAACAACAACAAACCACTTAACCACGAAGCATTTTTGCAATGTTTATTTTTAGTTTTCCGCCTGTGTGCGATATGCGTTTGTGCTGGTGTGTGTAGACCCATGCTCAGACTCTGTTGGGTAGAAAACAAAATTTGTCTTGAGCAATGACTCACTGGTGTGAAGGCAGTGTTAGTTTTGTTCATAATTATGTTGCTTTAAGTTGAATGCTGCAGTTATTGATTTAGTTATTTCTTGCAGAAAATCTTTCTTCCAGACTTCTATATATTGTTTGACGCTGATGCGTGTGCGTGTTAGAGGATAGCGTTGTGTAATAAATATTTTTGTGGTTATGCAATTTATTGCATTCGGGCAAAAATATATTTCCTTATAATTAAATTTAGAAAAATGAAATTAAATTGAATAATAAGTAAGTATTTATTTTATACCAAATTATTTTATTGCCAAATCTTAAATTTCATTATAGCAAGTGCTCCTGCTTTATCAACGAAAGCCGATAAGCCCTAACTTTTCCCCTGTATATATTTAAAATATTTGTTTCTTTAAATATTTTGACGAAATACTTTTAAATATTTTATAGCAAACAATTTTTCTGTAAAATAAAACAGCTGGATGCCTATCCTTATTTGATGACATTATTTACTTCGATTACTTACTTATATATATAATATTTGGTTGCTATTAAAGGAATAAAAGCATAACAGAGAGCAATAAGTTTTCAGTTCAATTAAGAGCTAGGTAAGTCGAGAACTTAATTTGCAAGCTAATTATGGAAATAAGGAAACAAAATCGAATGTTTCACTTATAGTCTTTAATAAACATTTGGATTCGTAAAATATGCTTGTACTGATCTTTTAATACAAAATGACGGCTTCTACGTCAGCCATTGGAATAACTTGTTTGAAGATGGTTTTGTGGACTCTCTGTAATAACTAAAAAAGTTTCTCAACATAAATTTCCCAATAAATAAAAACTTTTTCACCTTTACATTAATTTTTCATTAAAAAAAAAATTAAAACGTTAAATTTTTTTTTACCGAAAAAATTAGCAATAAATTGTTTATAAAAGAACAAAAAATAATCCTAAATGTTTCGTGCTGACTGATCCAAAACACATCGATCCTACAACTAATTGGAACTTGAACAAAGAATCATAAAAAGTTAAGCAAAAAATTTAAGCTGTTGGATAATTTGTCTTGGAATAAACTGATAGAGGCGATTAAACTGAGCAGCTACACTTAAGAATTCGTTAACTAAAAAGGATTTGAAATATTTATTTAAATTTTAAAAAAATATTTTTAAAAGGCTGATTTTTTCGAAATTTCACACAAAGTTCAAATTAATACACATTTTAAGCTCCAATAGTATTGGTGCTCTATCTGACCAACAATATTTCTGTTTCCATAGCAATTAGTTCCAGCTCTATAGGTTTAGTGGTCGGTCCTTATGTAGCTAGAGAGTGCCTGCTTCTGGTGCCGCTGTGTTAAAGAACCCAAAATAGATGAGGGTAAATCTGTGATAACAGAATATAAGACACTTAAGATACTAAAGGACCACGAACCAAACCTTCCATTCCCATGTGAAGATTTCCAAGCATATTCCAAGCGGAAGTCTATGCAACAAGTCAGTGTGTAGAGATGAACCTCCAACGCAACTATCGAAATGAAAGTGTTGCCATACTTGGCGATAGCATGCCAGGTTGCTAATAGGGAGGTACGACCTTAGAAGGTTTGAAAATGTAATAAGTCACCCAAGAAACAAGTTCCGGCTATTTGTCGCGTTCTACACTGGGCATTGATAAATAATATAATATGAGTACAAATTAATTACTAAATTCATATATTCGATTAATATTTTATTGATTTAAAATATTAAGTACTCTTATTCAATTTTTTTGCGGAGAGCGGGGAGCGAAGAAGAAATTTACTTGACAGCATTTTAAGCAAACCACGTATGCGTTTTCGAATGTATTGAAATATCGTTTGTGTAGAAACCAGTTATATTCTCAAATGAAAATGTCTGGAATTTATTCATTGTTTATTTTCTTTTAAACATTTCCATATGTTTTACTGGTCTACTTGGTGTAATCCGCCTGGGCACCTTCTGAGAGCTGTCTTATTGCAATCGGTGACGCGTATTCGAAAGTTAACACCTATTTCCTCCACCTTTCTGGTTTCTTCATGCCGGCCATGTTCACAAAGTGGACGAAGGGGTACAGTCAAGACCTCAACATTTATTCCGACTTATCAACCTGAAAATTTTGGTTCTAATGGCTGATTCAGAATCGGCCCTGACATCCTAAATCTGTGTCCGCCTGCAAAGAGTCCCTGCATTACACTAATCACCGCTTTGCATGCCCCTTCACACAAACCCATCTACAACCTATTTCTCTATGATCCATCCCATCAAAATAGACTACTTTTGAGCCTTTTGTTAGGTGGTTTCGATAACAATAAATTTGTGCTTTTGCCGAAGCAGGGTTTATATACTTGACTACTGTAAAAACAGCTGTATTTAAAAAAAAAGTACAAATATTAAACAAACCAAAAAGCAGTACTTTATTAGCTTTGCATTTACTCGATTGGTAGATATTACGTCAAACTCATCGCCGATGTGGGGAGTGCCTTAAAGTACTTCTATTAATGAAAGTTCCTTCAAGTTTTAAATCGACCCGTTTTAAATCAACGCTGATATAGCGTAATTAAGGGATGACCAGTTTTGCCGAAGATTTCTAGTGGCTATGGCTCTTTAAAAAGTTTTTCACATGGAAAAACAAAAAACAGGTCATATGACAAATAAGTAAGAACAAAATAACTAAACTTGTAAATTGTGTCTTTAAAAAAAATTAAAAAAGTGTCTCATTCATTATATTTTGATAACTTTAATTTTTGTACATGGAAACTGGTTTTAAATCTTATTTTTATTTTTATAATCTCTTTACAGGAAGTCAGAAGTTCACTAAATAAGGAACAATAAACGTTCTTGGCAAACGCTGAGTGAATTAGCAATAGTAAAATATTAATAAACGGCAAGTTCGACCATAAATAAACAACCGTTAATAACAACAACAAAAGAATAAAAGGAGCTCCTTAAAAATGATTACGTGAGAAACTGCACTTATTAAAGAATTAAATGGACACCAATTGCTGGCGCAATAAAAGTAAAGCGAATAGAAAGAGGAAAAAGCAATTAAAGCCGCCACCAAATGCTATGAACACCGACAGAAGTTGGTTCAAACGGTATTCGCAACAATTGCAAGTAAAAAGCGTGTAAACTAAGACAAATGAAAAAACAGTTATATTCGGCATTCTCGTTTGTATCGCCGCTTAGATAACTTAGCCACAGCTGAGCGCAAAATGACGCTGACCACTTATGTGTTTACCAAGAGTTGTTGTTGTGCGTGAGTGTAAAATCGAAACGAATGTGTAAGCTGAGGAAAAATGCGTTTGCAGGGCAATAAACGCCAAAAACTAAAACAACAGCAACAACAACAATGCAGCAATAGAAGTAAACACAAAAACAAAAACGAAAACGAAGTCGACGCTGCGATAAGTCGCCAACAACGAGGTAATAAAAGGGACCAGCAAAGAGAAGAACAGCAAGTCGAGCAATTCAGGCAACAGCAGCCGAGTGCGAGAAAAGGAACGGCGCGCTTTGCGGTATTGGCAGCTGTAACTAAAATAAAAGAAACAACTTTTGCAAAAAGTAGGCAAACAAAGAAGCCCACAACAATTCAACTTTCCGCAACGCAGAATCGTAATCACACGCGCACGGCTGCGACGTCACCACACTTTGCACCGTTGCTGCTGTACACCGTACCTCGATTCTTCATACTCATCGTGCTTTGCTGTACGATGCCGCCGCAAGCGCATGCCGATTGGTTGATGGACTGTGGCGACTGTCTGTGCAAATGGCAGTCGGGTAAGAAGACTGCCGATTGTAAGAATCTTACGCTGAACGCCGTACCAGAGAACCTGAGCAATGAGGTACAAGTGTTGGATCTTTCCTTCAATCGTGTCGCTATACTGGAACAGAATGCCTTCCTCAACGCTGACTTGCATAATCTACATAAGCTCTTCATGCGTAACGCATCGCTGCAACAGATCGACCCGCGCACATTTACCCAACTAGAGATCTTGATCGAAGTGGACCTCTCAAATAATTTATTGCGTAATCTGCAAGCGAATGTCTTTGCACGGCTGGTGAAAGTGCGCGCAATTGTCTTGAATGGTAATCTCTTGGAGACGCTCTCTGATGGTGTCTTCCAGAATCTCAAATACCTGCATAAGGTCGAGTTGAAACATAATCGATTGATGCGTATTGGTCAGCAGGCGTTCAACAACGTGCCGCTGCTATCGCAGATATATTTGGATGCCAATCGTCTGAGCTTTCTGCGAAAGGAGTCATTCGAATCGCTCAAACGACTGACAGCGCTATCACTTGATTCGAATCCGTGGAACTGCACCTGCGAACTGCAAATATTCCGTGATTTTGTGCTAAAACGTAATCTCTACACACCGCCAACAGCCTGTTATTACCCCATACACCTACGTGGTATGTTGTGGGTTGAAGATCAACCAGAGGCTTTTGCATGTAAGCCACGCATCATATTTCCGGCGCGAGGTGCCTCCATCAGCACGTCGAAGGAGAATGTGACGCTGGTATGTCGCGTGCATGCCTCGCCCAATACACACATAACCTGGGACTACAACCGACAACAATATCGCTCGTCTACCAGCAATATTGGCGGCAGCGTTAATGCAGTCACCACCAACAGCGGCGCAAGTGGTGTTAGTTGTTGCGCCAACGGCCAGGCTCAGCGTCTGCATATAGAACTGCTGCGCGATGAGCAGTCGAAGGAGAAAGAGTTCGGTCGTGATATATTTATATCGCGTCTTACCATTGTGGCTGCTGAAAAGAGTGATGAAGGTACGTACACGTGCGCTGCGGAGAATGCTGGTGGCAAGGATGCAGTGCAAATTAATCTGTTGGTGCAACGGCCGAGTCCGCGCGAGTTGCTGTTGCAAGGCAATTTAGTCGTTGTTGTTTCACTGATGGCGCTGGGCCTGCTCGGCGTATCCGTGTTTCTCGCGCTTGTCACTTGCTGCATTTATAAGCGCTTTAAGGCAATGAGTCCCACAAGTCATCGGCATCATCATCATCTCGATGGCGCAGACCAATTGACGCCCGGCATGGATGGTCAGCATACGACGACGACTACCGTGACCGGTGGTACTGATGTGGTTCTCGGCATGGATGATACAGTGGGCAGTTATAAACATCATTTGCAGAAGAAGAATGCGAATGGTGATGTAGGTGAGGGAAAGGGTGGTGGTGGCGGCGTAGGTAGTGGCAAATACTCAGAGGTGATAAAACATGGCGTGACTGTGATGGATAATGGCGGAATACTGTCAGGCGTCGGCGGCCGTAATGTTGGAGTGGATGGCACCAGTGCGCACAGAAGTGGCCCACATGCGGACAAAATGTACTTGGAGCGAAGCAATGACGGTAAGTGGCTAAATTAATACAACATTGTTGTGGAATGTTGTGCAATATATAAATGACGAGCAACAGAGTTATCTATAAGTGTACGATACAATTGTATACAGTGAAAATATTTCAAAAATATAAGTGAAGTTGCTAGAGAATCAACATCAGTTTCTTAATATTTGTGAAACCTGTAGTGTCATTAACTCCTATGGCTTAACCACAAGATGGAGAATGCTAGGATTGCTATATATATTTCCTTATGAAGCCTGGAAAATATTTCTATTCCTTCCACCTCATCAAGTTGTCTGTGTCATGAATCGTTCACATTATTCTGCTTCGTCTCGTACCAGCAGCTTCTACATATGGCATCCGCTAATAATTTTAGCCTTACCATGCGTAGAAATAAATATTTAATTTAACCCTGTCTAAATCTTCTCATTTCAACGTCCTTAAATTTAAAGACTAGTTGAAGGATTTTTGTAGTATTTCATGAGAGGCTATTATATATAGCAGAAATAATATGTATTTAGCCTTTACTTTTCTATTCAGAAAGTAAAATTCTACAAACCGGACTATAGGTTAGCCTCAAAGCACTTCTGAAATGCACTTTTCGGTATGGCCATTAACTCTTTCTTCGATTCTGACTTGATCTCATCAATTGTGGCAAAACGCTTTCCCTAATTGGTTTCTTCAGTTTGGGGAATTCGGTGATTGAGGTATATTACGATTTTGTTTTTTGCCAAACAATGAAGTCCTGAGTGATACTAATGGGACACTGCTTTTGCTCAAAATTTAGCAATTGCGGAACAAACTTCGCAGCTACAATTTCATGCCCAAAGCAATCAAAAAAACCTAATGTCATGAGCCGATTGATATGCCCACATCCTCTGCAACTTCCGTAATAGCGATCCGATAATTTTCAAGAACTAGTTTTTTCAATGTTTAGATGTTTTCATTGCTTGTTGACGTGGTCGCACCTCCAGGATGCTCATCGTCATCAACATACCACCTATAAACACTTTTTTGAGACAAAGTGGTCTCATCGAATGTACACAGCCCGCGAAAAATTAAAATTCACCCCTGAAGACACCCCGTATGCTACTTTGAAAGCAATCATTTGGTCGTGAACTAAGAGAGGGTATGATAGATATACCCAAATGCCAGAAAAAGTCTCCGCACAAAACAAATGAGGACTTCTGCATGTCGCCATCTATCTTGTTTGGGCTATACCGCTCTTACACCACACAAGCTTTCGTTCTTTGATACCAAATATGCGGTATTTGCTTGCATCCGAGAGTAGGACTTTTGCTCAAAATTTTGGAGGCTTGTCTATATAATCATTTGCAAAATCAATACTTTTATTTTAGTTTACTTTTGATATTTATGATTTCTTGCTTGGTAAATGACAATTTTTTTTCAATACTTTTCGTACGGTATTCCTCTGAATATTCTCATCAAACGATTATTTGATACTTTTGTTTATTTAAGAAGGTGTTATCTTAGGATTTTCTTTTACTAACCTCAATATTTCCCGTTTATCATGCGCGGCCAACTTTTTAGTCAACCCGAAGTAGTTTTTCACGCCATGTGGTGCAGAAAAATAGGTTCTTTCTATAATTTGGCTTTTTTTATGTCTATTTATAACTTCGTATTGGTACTGTACTGCAATGTTCTTTATTAAACAAGTATAGTACTCGTGGAATAATACTAAAGAATTTGTTCATGTTATAATTAATGATCTAGACTATCTTCTACTTAGTGGGGACAACATGGTTCATATAACACTAAATGGCGCACTATTTTGAAATATTCTTGCAACTTAACCTGTTTTCGGGTTTTCTCTTCTGTTATTTTTTCTATCTGCTGCATCACATTTGCGACACTTCAGTTCTCATATAATGATTGCAATTATTGTTGCATTTTTCTGTTGTTTTTATGCAATTGTAGCGATAAGTAATTCTTCTCGTTTTTCTGCCAACCAAACTCTTTTATTATTATCGTAACTGTTTTTTGTTGTCTTTCACCACCGACTTTATTGTTATTGCAGTCGTAATGGGGTTTTCACGTTTGCGGTCGCCATTCGTGTTCTTTGACGTGATCATTGTCGTCATTATTGCTGTAGTTGGTGGCTTTCTCGTAAATCCTTCGTTTATAGCGTGACCATTCACGCCAAGCTGAGCCAAACCAAGCAATGCCACGCCACGTCACGCCAATTTATTCGCACACAACCTTCCTCCGCAAGGTCCAACACACAAAGTGTACCCAGTACCACACAAAGTATCCACCCACACATTCGCAGCTGTGCCCTCAACAATGCGCACACAATTATTTTCCAGTCTTTTCCGCCTGTCCGGTGGCGTTATTGTCTCAATGATAAATATGGTAATTAATTCTCGCAACGAATTGTTGAAATGCCGTAATGAAAATGAAAATGTTTTCACCGCTGCCGCGCCCTACTTTCGAAAAAATTAAACAGCAGCACGCTCCAAGTCTTTTTTTGTGGGAAATTTTTATTGCTTTTTGCACCGTTCAGCATTGCTTTCACGGCTTATCAGCGGGAGGCGGGGGAGGCTGGGGTTGCAGCAGCATACAATTTTAAACAATAACATATCGCCCTCACATTTGCGCACACAAAGCAGAGGATAATATAACAAAAAGTTATATTATTTATTTAATGTCCGAAATAATGATTCACAGCTGTGCATTTGTACAATGTAGGCTTTCTCTGCTTTTTCTGCTTCTTCTGTTTTTTTTTTGTTTTGTTTTTCGAATGCATATTTCTTGCACGCCGCTGTAATTATCACATTTTTCATGCGCGACCACTTAAGTGCCTTGGAACGAATGAATCCGTCGAGATAAATTGCACTGGGTTCATTATTAGTGTCTGTCTGTCTCTGTGGGTTGTAACGCCATTACATATTATATATATATATTTGTTTATATAAGAAACTTCATATATCTGGGCATTATGTAAATCGTTTCGGTCTCCACTGTTCGCAAATAATTTGCATTTCTTTTCATTTGTCAGTAGTTCCTCGCATTTTTGCTCCGGCCTTAAGTGATCAGTGGTTAATGAGGTTAATAAGCGCGATATTGAATTAAAAGGTATAATTGCATTGTTATTTAAATTTTAACATTAAGGTTGAAGGTTATTCAAAGTAGACAATTTGCAATAAAACTTTTTTTGATATTCTTCAAAATTACATGACATTCTAGATTTCGAAAAATTGTGTAAAAGAGTTCAAGACACTTTTAATATGTAGAGTTACATCGGCGCAATATTTCATTAATATATTTTTTTGCTGATGAGGTCCGGCACTATGCTCTCATCGCGTCGATTGTAGATAAAAATAAACCGAATTATTCCTCAGATAAAATCTTCAAAGTGACAATGCAGGTGATGGCAAAATGGCAAATTATACCCTCAAAAACTTTTCTGGAAGTGCCTAGCATTCACCAGCAATACCAAATTTAATACTTCTCATCGCAGAGTAAAATACACAATAAATAGTTAAGAGATTTTTTATTATTATTTTTTGCTTTCGCATATCCCGTTTTTGAAAAGTGCTCTCAGAGAGCAATAGCTAATACCAAAAAATCGCTTTAATAGAGACTTAGGTACTATTTTGGATAAAATTTAAAGGGGACTGCCTCTACTATGCACCAAATGAAATTAAAAAAAAAAAAACAATAAAAAGAACTATGTCAGTGCAATACTTTTTTATATGCGTGGAATTATATTTATTTTTATATCTTAAATCATAAAATATAAAAAAATATGAAAAAGTAGTTAATGATATATATGTACATATTTGACGAGCTGTCACCGTCGGCCGAACGCCTCATTTGTAGGCGCGTAGTATGTAAATTATGAATTATGCACAGCACGCGTCTGTATTTTATTTCACGACCAACAGCTGTTTACTACTTGTTAACCAAAATGAAACACTCAAGCTGGATTTATTGCTGAGTTATTATTATTTTAGGACCGCATTTCGCAAAGCCTACTTGAGCCTTTTTTGCAAATTTTTTATGGCCCATGAGCGGATGCTCTGCGTGCTGTTTCGGCCATTAGTATACGGCCGACAAATGTGAGAAACACGGAAAGTAATACCAACGATTCACGGAGTCGGTCGGCCGCGTGCTAACAAGCACAATCTAAGATTGTTAAAACGCTGGAAATAATTCTGCATAATTGTGTCCATTAAAATGGAGGGCATTTTCATTTTCATTTTCATTTCCATTTACTCTTTTGTATTCTACAAGTATGTAGGAGAGGGCGGAGGCAGAACTTTAATCTTTTGTGTGCTTGCCAATCAACAAGGCGATAACTTTTACGGCTGGCAATAAGAAAATTGGTAATTTGGGCGTTCGTATGCGCAGGTGCGAATGTGTGCGTGCGGCAGTACAAGCGTATGTGCAATGTGAGAGTTAAGTGTGTGGAATAAAGAATTAAAGTAATACTTGGAAATAATAAAATGCTAAAATAATATATGTGGGTACATTCACATTAATAAATAATGTTTAATTACAATATTGGTCACTAAAGCCCACCCCACAAATAAAAGCTATTTGAAGACTCAGGCAATAATAATTTACCGAAACTCAGATTAAATAATTTTCCATGTATGGACTGTTCAATACATGGAAAATTATTGAAATTCCGAATGATCGAAATGAATGTCTATAAAACAAAATCCATGAAATTAATTGAGCTTTCTTATAATCGATATTGCTTTATTTTGTGGCAGCAAAATAACTTGATTTTCAGGAGCTTCTACTCGCGTTATGCCAACATACAGTTAGCCATGATTACAACATTCTTTTCGTCCATTCTTAGTGATTCGAACGTTTTTCCTTGGGACTTGCTAATTGTTAACTCCAAAGATGTTTTTACCGGAAATTGAAGATATTTAAATGGGATTGGTTGATCAGTTGGGATCATCTGTATATGAGCTGGTATTATTTATATTGAATTCCGCACACGACCGTATGTTGTTAGCTAACAGGAAGAGTGA